ATTTTTTTCTGTTACCTAATTTTAATGACAGATTTGACTCTAATGAACTTTTGCTGTCCACTTTAGAACCGATACGACCTCGATCCTCCAAACGACCATCTGCAGACAGGAACGATATCTTGCGCAGACTGTAAGTTTTATAAAATAAAAGTATTTGAATTCTTTTTTTTAATTAAAAAAAATTTTCAACTTTTTGTGTATTGTTTGAGTTTGCTTTGATTCACCACAAATTAAGTTATGTTCGAAATGAAAAAAAAATTAATTAAAAACTGAAAACAAATAATTAGTCTTTCGCTTGAAAGCTAACCGACATTTTATTCGAAGTTTTAGTGGTAATAGGAACTAATAGGAACTGTGGAATATGTTCTTGGGTATTTCAAAAACATGACTTTTAATATTAATGGCCTACTGTTACTATTAGCAGCCATTAAGCAGATGATTCAACATTACAGATTTCCCTTTAGGGGTTGTAATAAATTATTCCAAATTTTTATTTTTATCATTTTTCTCGAATTCTGCTGCTGGATAATGATGGTGATGGTAAAATAAAAAAGTAAATCACCTTGAATCATGTCTACAACCAGAACATGTAGGCCTTGCAGCAGTGATCATAACGAGCGGTAAGTGACTGCTACTCATACTTACCCGTCGGCTGCTCATTCGTCTGTAGATAATTTAAATCTTAAAATTCCTAATGAAATTTAAACTATTAGTTGCAAAAGCTAATCAGTCAGGATAATGGCCAAAACTGGTGTATTTATAAAAATTATGAATGAAAAAATAAACTTTCTCACTATCATCTGTAATATTAGATCAGTGAAAAACTTTTAATTAAAATGATGTTACTGTATTTGCATCTAAAATATCAGCAAAGCTTACCCAAACGATGAAAAGGAGCTTCTATGTGATGATTCTCTATCCGATTCCACATCTCTTAAATGTTCAATTATATCAATTAAGATTCGTACTGTATTGATCAAATCCTCAAATTGTGCCGCTTTGAGATCATTTAAAGCTAATCCAAGTGTCATTGGATTCAACAGATAACTACAAATTGCGGCACGATCACGTAATCGCGTAGCATCACGCATTAATATTCGTTGCACCACACCTCAAAATTCGATAAATTCTTATAGATTCTGCGAATTAATTTAATTTCTTTTCTTTTTCTATTAATCAAAACCTCAATAAAAAATTAGACCGTTAATTTTAAAATTCTTCATGTCGAAAGAATTTTTTAAATATTACCTATACATTTATTATGCCCAATGATACAATGATATAACGTATATAGGAGGATTTTGCTTATGCGAAATGCATCTCAGCTAACAAATTAAACCACACATCAAAAAGGACACTTCAAACTGTGAACTTTTCCATGATTCAATTTTTTCGCTCACGAAATGACTAATACTGATAATGATGCGACTTATTCAAAGTAATATTAGCACACGTGATACTGTATGTATGACATCGCTGTGTTTCATATTACACATTGGTATTGCCGCAATTAGCATATTCAGTACATTCGAATCGCAACGATCTGATAACGTTCCAATGCAAGCCAAAAAGTCTAACTGCCTCTGAACAAATTATTCATTTTCAGATCTGAGATAAAAAAAGTGAAAAATTTTATCTGTGAAATTTCAACTGCAAAAAGTTACAGATACTTTTAGTGAATGAGCCTATTCGCTTAAAATACACTTGAAGGAAACGGACAAAGCTGTTATAATATCAAATGAAATAGATAAGATGATAAATCAATAATTGAATCAATTAATCAATTTATTTTTGAATTTTTCGAAAAAAAAAATTACCGAAATACCGCCATTAAGGTACAATGAAAAATAATTAAACGAAGGAATGAGTCGATTTGAAAGGAACCAATTGGAAAGAAATTCTGCTATCGATGGAATGTTTCGAATTACTTTTTCCTAGAACAAAACTTTTGTAGAATCCAATTATCCATTTAATATATTAAATGAAAATTTAAAATGTTCATAGATTGATGGAAAGTTAAAAAATTTCAAAATATTTTCACCTGAATATGAACATCTTGCGATTTAACAAACATAACAATCAAATCTTGTATTTCATCAATTATTTCTTGATTATCAGAGAAACGTCGAAACAATACATTCATATTTTCCAAAATTGAAGGATTTACCTGAAAATTTATTTCTTCAACCATATATCTCGAATTTTTTGAACTTTTCAAATTTTTAGATAATTTCTTTTCAATATTTCCGTTGCAGGTATTTCATCAAATAAGCATATCATAGGAAAATAATTTAAATGAAAAGAGAATACGGTAATATTGTACTGTTTATGGTATTGATTACGATAATTTTAATAAATTTAAATATGGTAAAGTACAATAAGCAAGCTAACCGTGCATTGGACAGCATGATGTACGATCCTATGTATCCATACCTTCAACCTATTTACATTATCATTTTTACATTGATCTAACATATAGAATAGTGGACGAGATAAGGCAGCATATAAATCATAGCAATCGATAAAAAATTCATCAAAACGTGGTAATATCCTTGTAAACCATAAATTCTGCAAATTGAAATTTTTGTGAATTTTAAAATTTGTACATATATTAAAAGAATATTCAAAATTCCACTTCTATTTGAGAAACATTAATTTTCCAATAGTATTTTCATAATTTCAAAAAAAAAAAAAATCAGATAATTCCATACTTCCGGAATAATCGATAAACTGTCATAAAGTGTTTGCGACAAAAATACATTCTTTTGTTCCGGATCAAAAACTTGCATGATATCATCAAGTTGATGAAGTGCAGAAAGTGCTGGATCATCAAAATATTTTATCTGTAACAATAAATAAAAAGTATTAAACGTATTAATTTATGCATAAATGATAAGTTTAGCATATAGAGTGGGTGGCGAAATCGTTTGAACTATAATGCCTCGAATTTTAGGATTAATAAATCCCTTCCCACTAGTGAAATAAATTCAGGACGCTAAAAAATTGTTGTTAACCAAGGCAAGAAATTGGACGGTAGGACGTTTGTCGACATCCAAATTGACTACTTTCTCCATTGCATCCAGTAAATTCGGCCCAAGTTCTTCAGCGATACACTTCAGTGCCGTATCGAGCTTCAAAAATAATCAATCAATCTGATATTAACAAAAAATTCCAATTCTAATTGTTGATAAATGAAAATTCAAACAGATGAATAAAGTAACAAAAAAAAAAAAGCGTGATATAAAGTATTTGTATATCGTTTTATATAATTGATAGAAATGGTTAAGACTAAGTATTGTCATTTATCATTTATCATTTATAATCAAACAATTTGCAACACTCGTTACGTTTTTTGAAACTAAAAAAATGATTTTTTTCTGAAATTCAAACGATATATTGTGTATAGAGAGGATTTAAAAATCAGTCTGTTAAAATTTAAACATTGTCTCGTTTAAAAAAAATGTTGCAAAATTCAAAATTAATTGATCAAAATATCCTGATAATTTTGAAATAGAATCCCCATCACAAAAAAAAAGCACTAACTGATTTATGTTTTCATTTTTTTCTTTTTCTAAAAAACAATTCAATTTTCGATTCCATGCAACATTAGATATTTACTTTTTCATTTCTTTCTATTAACTTTTAAAATCATCAATTTTTTTTTTTTGAGATACAATTTATCAGTTCAGAAAGTGAGAACGGCTGGAAAATTCATTATTGATAGTTTCGGAGTAAAAATTACTCTGTTCAAAAAGTGAAGAAAATTAAAAATTTTAATAACTGATAATTTTAAAGTGCAAATTATCAAATTCAAAAAGCAGAGATAAATTTAATGGTTCATAACACGCAAATTATTAATTTCGAAAATGAGAACGCTTGAAAATTGCAATAACTCTACTTTTTGATTGATAACTTTGCACTTTAAAATAGTACAGCATTAAAGTAATAGATAATGAGGAGAAAAACATTCGCTTCATAGTCATTCCTATCAAAAGAATTTTTTAAAGTTTCACATATGGAGCTTAAAAAAATTGGCTTCAGTAAGACATTGTTAACAAGTTTAAATAAATTTCCTACAGATGTATATCACACACGGAATTTGGAATATGAAATGTTATCATTAATTTAACTTATTATTTTTAGCCAAATATTGAACAAGTCAAGGATTGGTCAATACCGATTAACCGATTAATTAATAGATTAACCGACTGATGACTAGAACTTTTTTTTTTCTTTTGGAATTAAGTTCAAAATTTATGATTACTCAATGCAAAAAAATTTTTCCATAAAATCATATTAATTCTTGGCTAAATTGCGAAAAAATTCTCAAATTTTCTAAAGAAAATGACAAAATAATTGGAAAAATAGAATTTTGATTTTAAAAAAAAAAATGAAAATTGTTACTTGTCCGCATATTACGCGATATGTATCGACGTTATTTTTGGCATCAATTAACCGTTTTCCGCCTAAAATAAGCAATATCAATTAATTCAATTAATTAACAAAACAGTCTTCATTTATACTTCATAAATTTTATGCATTAATTTTTTACAATTCAAAATTCATCTGCGAGAAGAAAAATTGCAAATCAACTAAATGATAAAGTAGTAATAAATTTCTGGAAAAAAAATGAGCGAAAATGTTAGAGATTTAATTGAATATTTCATAATGTAATTGAAACTCAAGTAATTTATGATTCAATTAATGGTTCTAAATTTGAATTTGCAATAAATTTATTTGATGATTTGATCTCAACCAATCACATTTTTATATCGTTAATTTCACGTCTTTTATTTTTGCATCATTTTCAGTCATAAATTTCAAGAAGTAATTACCAGGAATAAATTTAAATCACGCACTTTTTAATATCACTCCCTCCCAAAAGAAAGCAATCAATATTGCTCATATCAACATAAATTATAGATGGCACTTCATATCTATTATCAACTAAAAATGGTAAATTGAATTGAAAAAAAAAACTAAATTAAATTTTAAAAATATACCAACCAGCACATATCCAACAAATGAGTACACCCAATGAGAAGACATCTGCTGCTGAAGTGACCGAATTCTTATTTGACAGTAAATATTCCGGTGCTAGAAAATCAAGATCCGGTTGCAAATGCACCGGTAATTTTTTGGTCCACGGAAAACACGGAAATAAATTCTGTAAAAAAATAAAAAAAAGTTTAGCTTCTTTAGTACGCTCCAAATGCTAATTTTAATTGTTCATACAATTTGGCAAATAAATAAAAGTGGAGAAGGAAAAAAATTTTTTCTTTTTAAATTTATGTAATGGAATTTTTGCTTCTGTACAAAAAATTTAGTATTTTTTTTTTAACAGTAAAATAATTAAAAAATTTGGATATGAATTATGTTGACATGCAATGAAATATACAAGTAAATTTCATTCTTCATTTTTCTGAGATTTTTTTGATAATTTCATTTGTAAAAAATTCATGTACACGTATGTGTAAACAAAAAAGTAAAAGGAAGAATTTCTACTGAAAAGAATGTTATGAGATGAAAATAATAGCATGTCTAATTATCGGAATTTGCATTTCATTATTTCAAAAAAAAAGTTGGAAAGAAGGATAGAAAAATTGAAGTACTTTTGATGCAGTAAGAAATTTATGGAATAAAAATTTACACCACTTAATTTAGAATTTATTTACCAAAATCAGCACTTCCTCTAATGAAACTGTTCCACTAAAAGATAAATTATCAAGATAGTTTGTGATAATACTCTCGAAATCTATACTGATAAGCTATTCAACTATGATCTCATATTAATAATTATGAGGAAATTGATCATATAATTTATAGCATTTTTAAGATCAGGAATTTTTTTCGAAAAAAAATTGAAAGAACAATCTGCAATAAGATTTTTTACTAATTTTACAACTATATGAAATGAAGATTAAGATCGGTCGATATAAAATTCTGTTTACAGTTTTCATTTGACAACAATACAATTATATTTTCTTCAAGAAATTTTAATTTATATATTTTAACGTTGCTTACATTATTAATACAAATATTATTGCTTTCACAAATCTTCAGCTAAAGAAATCCAAAAAAAACGAGATTTTTGCTAAATTAAGAAATAGCAATTATTATTATTTTTTTTTTGAGAAATTTATATTTCTAAAAAAAATTGATTTAAAAGCAATTTACCGATTCATTAGCAGCTACTGAGAATGCAAATCCAGCAATTTTCCAATGTTTGGAGAGTGTTATATAGATAGCATTCGGTGTTAAATTGCCATGAAGTATTTTTGCGCTGTTATGCAAATATGAAAGGCCATCAATTAGCTAAAAATTTAAATCGGTTTGTTTTTTCTTCTTGAAGTATAAATTTACTATTGATGATAATAATAATTCCAACGCTAATTGTATAAATTATTATTAATGATAACAATAACTGTAATGGTAATTATACAAATTACTATTAATGATAACGATTCCAATGGTAATTGTATAAATTACAATTAATGATATTGGCAATTGCAATGAAATATGGCAATTTGAGAATTTTATAATACTAGCTGATAATTATCATTAAACATCTTTTCCTAATTTCTTCCTTGACTGAATTCTGACAGATGTGACATTTCTTTGAGGAGAAAAATTTATGGCAATTTCAATATTGATTCTATGTAGAGCTGTTTGCTTTGTCAAGTTTTTAAATTCAAAACCATTTAAGCTAACACAAATTGTATTGCAATTTTTACCTATTTTACGATAGATTAACGCATGATTTTAATTGCTTGTTTTTCGTTTGTAATGTTCAAAATTACACCCATTTTTTGTTTTTCTGGTTTTGATAATAATTAACTTTCAGGTTTGATGGCAATTTGATATCAGATAATTTCGTGTGAGAGACTAAAAAAAAGCTCAAATCAGGAAAAAAATTAGTTAAAGGAAAAGAAAGAAGGGAGAAAATTCCATCGCAGGATTATCATTTAATTACAGTTCAGCAATAAATGACGTATGAAAAAAAAATGGCTTTTTTGAATTCTTCGTGAAATAATTTACGTAGTAATCGGAGAAAAATCTTCGTAAAATCCTAAATTATGCGTTAACATAAATCTTAGCACTTATAATTTACCATATATTAACTGGAAAATTTTATAATTTTAACTTAAACATTCCAATACAGCTCTTTTTCATTTTTTTCCGGTATTTATCAACTCTTAAAAATCTTTATTGCTACATACCTTTTATTCTAATAAATTAATGAAATGAAGTTTGAAATCGAAAAGATATAAGAGTAAGAACAAGATTAGAAATAAACAAAATTAAGTTAGATTTAAAAAAATCAATTGAAATGAATGTCATAATAGAGAGCAAACCTGTAAGATACCAAGTTTCATCTCCAATCGATCCAGTCCTTCTTCAATTACGATCACTTCCAAACTTGCTTGAATATGTTCAGAAGCGAAAGTTATCATCTCTCTGACAAATTATTCAATTTAGAATGAACTTTCACTCCTATTTTCTACTGATTAATCTTTGATCTTTCAAATTGGAATAATAAATTG